TAATGGTAAACCTAAACAACAGTTAAAACTCGTTATTAGTCATTATTCGTTACGTGACTCTCTCTCTCTCCCTCCCTCTCTCTCTCACTCACTCACTCACTCATTCATTCACTCATTCACTCATTAGTGAGTGATTCACTTACTGTTAACGAGCCAATCATTCACTCATTTCTTTGATTTATTAAAATGAGTTTATATCAAAAACATAAACAAATGAGTGATAAAATGTGACCAAAATTCATAATATTATTCTGAAATTCCAATAAATATAAAAAGTTGGTAAAACATACGCTAAATTTAAATGCCAGCAAAAATCAAACGAAAGTTGTATTACAATGCCTACTTTAAAAAAAATAGTATTCACAAACCCTAAAGAATATACAGTATATAAAAGTTTGTATATAACCCGTGGAATATCTGATAATTAAAGTAATAGTTTTGAAAAATTTACTTCAAATATGAATTTACAAATATATATTTTCAAAATCCATGTTTTATGTCAAAACAAAACAAGTTGTTAAATAACTATTTGTTTGAAATTGACACAATTGAACCGTTTTTAATTATTACAATTTTTGTGGTGCGGATTCCTTATTGTATTTGAACTAGGTCCCTAAGAGGCATAAACCTTTTAATCATGAGTTAAAACTATGGAAGAATAATTGGTTTGCACGATATTTTAGTTGCATGATAGTTAGATATTTTGTTTGGCAACACTAAAAGTATTAAAAATACCAAATATAACAAGTATTAACATGTGTTATCAGGTTTGACATCAATAAACTAGTGTTAACTTTGGATTCATTCATGAATTGACATATAATGTTACAACAAGCAAATATCGTGGGAAATAAAGCCTGCATTTAAATAAATAGACGTAATCCGGATATTTACTTACAATTACAATATATAAAGGTTTGTAAATGAAAATAAAAAATAAAATGAGATTCTTATAATATTCTAGACATTATTAGAATATAACACAACACATGAATTCTTTCATTGAAGACTATTCATAAAGTTTTTAAAATATAAAGTAGAGATGCTATGAATTGCATCATAGAATTCGTTGTATGACAACAAAGTTGGGTTGCATATAAAAAAAGTTGCATTTGAGAATACAACTACAGTAGTACATTTTCCCACATTTCTACAGTTTACACAACTCATATCAATAGTACCAGTGTCAAAGTAGTGGTCATTAAAGATCACTCAGATTAATGTATTCCTATGGGAGGGTGCCCGTTTTTGTATTACCGATGGTTAAAATCATAGTTACATTGATCATGCTCAAATACTAATAGAGATCATTCAAACCCCTTCCTCTTCTGATACCTTTACTATTGAATGCATAAAACCAAATGCTATTCATTGGCCAACACTGACCGCTACCCCAACTGTGGCCACACAGAAATCAGTTATTTACCCGATTTGGGGCCTGTGTTCGGTGGGTTCGCAATTGATTCCCGTTATAATTAATGTCATGATATCTACTCTAAACTATTGTCAGATAACTAATAGTGAATCCCAATAACCAAATAATCACTTCAAACACATTTTTGGTAAAAATATTTTCACTTTGAAAATGAGATCATTTTTAGTGGAATTTCTTAGAAGAAATGCGGTACTACCTAGGTAGCAGGTAACATGCCATTCTATTCTCAAGTCTACCCTCACATAACACCACATTGGGCTTAGAGGAAGAATGCGTACTAACAATAAGAATAACACTCAACAATCCAGATAACAATTCATTAAATTTAACCGTTAGTGTTAATACATGTATAGTTTACACTTTATATCTACGCTATATGAGTACAACTTATTGAATCTAATACATTAGTACTTACTGTACAGATTGTGTAGATTATAAATAAACCATTCAATTCAAACAATATCCACAATTTATGCCATATTTTTATTGTCAAATTGTCATAACTTAAGTCAAACTCTTACCTCATTTAAATAATATTACCGGTATTAGTTTTTATTAAACATTGAATTATTTAATTCTTGCTTAATTAAAATAGATTTATTATTTAAAAATACAATAAAATCTATATTCTAATTACTGTATTTGCATTATTTATAATATAATATCTGGAATATAATAATTTCTTTATAATATAATAATAACAATAAAATATCTATAAATATATAAATAGCCGAAAAATGGTCGACACATCGCTTGGATATCACTGATTGAATGTGTGTATGAAGTGGTGATATGTTGTGTTAAAACTTGTCGCGAAACATCAAACTCAACGTTACGTTATTCACTTGAGGGCCAAACAGCGGGTTTAATTGCGCGATGTATGTACACAACCACCTCGTGGTCAATACAAAGCATATGTTATTGCATACAATAGACATCTATCACAAACTTATTCATCATTTGATAAGACATTAATTGCTAATTCAAAACATGTGTCAATGTGTTTGCAATGCAATCACAACCATATGAATACATGTTTGGCAATCATATGACCAAATGCTGGACAAACAATAAGTTTGTGATGAGTTTGATTGAGTGATACTTACAATACATAACAGGAAACAGCGGTTGTAATGAGTATTGTTTGCGCGATTCTGTGGCACAACAAACAGTGACAACAATTAGTTTGCATAACAATTAAGTGTAATATAAGACAATTTAAGACAATATACCCCTTATTGGGTCCTTTGGGCACAAAGAAAGGCAGGACTGCGCCCACAATCACCCAAAAGGCTGTCACCACAATCGGCCCGATATATGCCGGCGCTGTCATCACAAACACCTAAACACAACACACGGTTCAGTCAATCCATTATTAATGGTTTTCATTTAAACGCTTACTTTTTTAATACAAAATCAACTCTAAATCCAATGAATTAAATAAAAGTATAAATCAATCGGTGTTTGCATTCAATGTTTGTTTATCTCTGAAAACGCCTTCAAATTATGGCATAAATTACGGCAAAAATTATTGTCATATAAAGAGAAGCCCTGAATATATGGTATCGCATGTGTTTGAATGGGGGCTGCGATAGAGTGGGCGCCCATTCATGCATTCCCTATAATATTTCAATTTAAATTCAAACTAATTATACATGTATTGTGTTTGTTATGCAATTGGTGTGAATTGAGTGGACAGTTGTGTTTTGTAAGGTTTGGTTGCGAAGCACAGGTAATACAGGTATTCTCACTATAAAAGTAATTTGCATTTACATTACGCGAACAATACAGCACTTTATCATTGTTTTTAATTAATGAATATTTTAATTGCAAATTATATGATATACTGTACTGTCAATCAGTGAATGAATGCATTTTATGTGAATTTCAGAAACACTCAAATCACAGACAATATTAGCTCTAAATGTATCCAAAGTTAAAGCATAACAGAAAAATATTGATAACTAGTTTTCATAGCAATTCTTGGAAATTGTTTCCATAATTGCTTCAAAATAAAACATATAATGACAACAATTTTTATGTTCCCATTCAAGTGATTATATAATAAATTCGTGTTTTTCTTTAAACACGTCTCATATTTCAAAGAATTTGTCGAAATTATAGAAACAATTTGAGAGCAAAACACCATATGATAGGAAGAAAGGAGGCATTAAATTATCATTTAAAAGCCCTAATCAAACATTTATATAATTTTCTAATCAAAGAATTATACAATAAAATGATACGATTGTACAGAATTTGAATCAAAATAATTGGTGTTTCACTTGTAGTGAGTTTGGATTCACTCGAAAACATGTATCGGAAGTAAATGAATGTTTGTTCCCAACCCTTGTGTTCCCTATAATACAATGTATTTTGTTTTATACACTTTTGGCAACACTTTTGTAATTACAATCTGATTATCATTTTATGAAATAATATTCCTATCGATTTGTACCAATTCTACGAAATATTGATGGAATTTATATTAAACTAAAACTAATTTACTTTAATTTACACATTATATAAGTCTTCAATGTTTGGAAATGAATTAATTGAAAAAATATTTCCCAAAAATAAAAGTTAACAAAACAAATGGAAAATCAATTTAAAGTCGATTAATGAAGGAATTAATGGATTAATAAAAATGCGAATAAAATAAAAGGCAATTAAAAGTGAGTTTAAGTGAAATTAGAGGCAAAAGCTATTGTATTGAGACGTGACTTATATTTAATGAATACATGCATTGATTGCTATATCAGTACTGATATTACAAAGTTATGTGATATTTGAGTCATTTTCATGTTTTAATACAACAATACATGCGATTTGTAATACATTTTCGCTAAAAAACTTATGTAATGAACACTCAATTCAATCCTGTATTCCGTAGTCTAGTATACCGTAAGTTAGACAGCATTGAGGGGTTGGCGTACAGGGGATGCCATTGCCTGCCATCCAATCAAACCATTTTCTACACTATAATTATATGTCAACCATATTGGGTGGAAGTCCTCTCTGAAACGCTACGTATTTTGCAAGTTTTATCCGCATATTTCTCACTATATTTCTTATTATCTATCTTATAGTTGATTGTATTTCTATTGAAAATAACTAATTAAATTGTTATTAACATAAACTATACACTAATTACAATAATATTCCAACTTAAATAATATTACAATAAAATTCCAACTAAATTCTTAGCATGCAAAATTAGAACCATATTCTGAATATTCTACAATTAAAAAAAAACCCTTGCTATAGTAATTGAGCTCAAATAATTTAATGCAATTATACCAAAATAATGGACAAAAATGTAGATAATGCAAAAATTTACATGGATGTGATTTTAGAACATAAGTATAATGTGAGTGAATAGTACAGTAAATATGTATGAAGTTTGCGGCAATGGATTACTTGCTCAACGCTATGCGTGTGTGATGTTTGCCATATATTATACTCGTTATACGTATATATAGTATGAGTGGTATATATAATATATAATGTATGGAATAATAGTTACGTTTTCACGTATAGTGTATTGGAGTGAATGTTGGAGTGAATGGAATGCAATGCCATTACAATGTATTGAGCGATGAGTTTGTGTTCAATTGATTCACACATTCATACCATTCATCGATTCATTCATTGAATCACTAATTAATGAAATCAATTGTTTTGTCCGACCATTGCTTCAGTGGAGACACCATTGCATCCAACCATCGGTTCAGCCGTTCATTCAATGCATTCAATGTGTCAATCAATGCAATCATCAATTGTTGTCACCAATGATGGCAAACATTGACATCAATCATACCATCCATTCATTCAAACACAACAACAATTAGTGAATCAATTGAATGCATAAATAATGGCAATCAATGGGTCAGCGCTTCAATTGAACGCCATTTGATCCCATCCTTTGATCCCAACATTGAATCCGTGTTTTTGTTTCAAATGTTTTGCTGAATATTTGTGTCAAATGTTTGATAAAATGAATCAATTATTAACTCTAATGACAAGTGATTGCATCAAATCAACACATTTTCAAACATTATGTCAATTGAAATGCAATACCAGAACCGCCGGACACTCGACGGCTATCATCGGTGGTTATCATCACCCGAACAGACATCCCAGACATTGGATCAGCTCATTGTTGGCACTACTTCTTAGGCCAAAGTGTTTATCAAATGGACGAACATTTAGTTTATTATATATTAGTTTATTATTATTGTTGACATGTATTAGACCCGTGTTTACAGGTATTTGAATGCTTATTGATTGCCATCATATGATCACTAATTGTCTCATTTGGTTGAATAGAGTGTCAATTCCCGGCTCATTGGGCGGGCAATTGGTTCCAGAAGGGGGTTCAGGACTCCATTAGGATTATTAACTCTAATATCTCTGAAAAAGGCATTTGTAGACAAAGTAATGGCGAAAAGTTCCTCATTGAAAATCGGTATGTCTTCCTCTTTGTCGCCATTTGGTCCATACATTCATGTCTTTCATCCCATTTATAGGAATGAGAAGTGCGTTCGTTGTCTTGTGATCAACGAAAGACATCACAATATATTGCAATATAAAGAGAGTGAGTGTTAAAAGACTATTACAATGAGATTACAATCAATTAAACTATTATTTTAATTTATAAAAGCATTCAATTGTCACCCACTTTCTGATCGCTTCTCATTGGAGAGCGTCTGTTCTGAGATCAATGGAGACGCAGCACTGTATTCACTCTTCAGATGTATTATATCTATTGAAATCATAACTATTTAATCATTAATATGTGTTTGTATTGCAAAACAGTGGACACGCGTCCAGTCCAGTGCCCGTTTTCCGGTCCCTTCACATTCAGCTATAGTCGAGGGGCGGGTGAATGCAGAGATCCCATCTCTCAGATAGACTCGTGTACTGACGACAAACACCTACTTTTCAGATTCAAAGCCTGTGCTGATGTTCAGGGATCTGAGAGTAGAGGTAATGACAATTATTTAACTCATTTACTCAACAAATGGATGTAATAATCATTTGTATGCTTTCAGTGGAAGAACTCGAGTGTTTTGCGGACTGGAAAGAGGGTTCGTATCGCTATTTAGTGGGAAAACTACATCACGACTCGGCGAAGACCGATGAGGACAGGTTCAGGTGCTTTGTATTCGATAAGATAAAGGACGCGCCGGAAGGCTATGAGATCGCACAGTCCGGTGACGCCACATGTGATGGTCTTCTGTCTCCGAAAGACGGGTCGCGCACAATGAAGATCCATAAGACAATCGGTGTGATCGCCAGATGTCAGTTCCCGAAGTGGCTTACGATGAGAAGGCATTGGAAGTCATTGGACGGCTCGCATATGTATGACTTCAATCGGCACAACAACTCATTCATTGTTTATAACGTGACGAATGGCGGAGATGTGGTCCGACTCGGCCTTTGTATCCATAAAGAAAACGTGACGACAAGTGTCTCTAACGATGCCTTCGATGTCAGCCAATATGTGGTTCATTTCACTTCCGGCTGGTATGACATCCCATGTTCTTAACTGCCAATCAGTGGCTCATTCACTGTCTTTCTATTCACAGTAAAAGTGGATTCACTTGTTTGCGGATATATAAGCGCTCGAATCAAATCATTGAATTACAATACGGCTCGTCCGCCAAACAGCCCAGTGATGCCTGTTCTCAGCACCACTTCAAGCCATATAGCGCTAAATACTTAACCCTCACGAGTGAGTGTCGATTGTTAATTGATTTCAATTGCACTCAATTGCCTTAAATACTAACAAACACTTTGCGTTTGCTTTGCTATAGCGATGTCATCGGATACGAGTGATTGTCCTTTTGAAGGCATATATGCAGTGAACGTTCCCGACGATGGGCTATACAATGGTCTCAATGACCGTCAATTGAATCCTTCCAACGAGAAATCATTATTGATTTGTTCGGAACAATCATCACTCAATTCCCGGTGCAATTCCAACGATCACATCCAACTTCAGTCCAAATGCACTTTCAATGACAACATTCGAAGTGAATATTGTTTTTATTTCATAATAATAAAGATAAGTTGAGAAATATGATTACTACACTAATACGCTACTTTACGAATGTCTGAAATCTACATTCCCGCCCACCTTTCTCTTACTTTGGTGAATAAACCAGCGGAGAAGATTACTTCTACTCATCAAACAGTATTGTTTAGCTTACGATCAAAACGAAAATGGACTCAAAATGACTATAAGTAGTGATACATGTCTTCGGAAGGGACCGAACCTAATGGGCACTCCATCTCAAAGAGAGAGTCATTTGGCTCTGAGTCTCGTTAATAAAGGTTTGCTTTGATTGACTCATATAATGCATATTCTCTGTACTAATTACTTGATTGGTTGTCTGAATAGGTGTATGCAATCAGTTGAGATCCGATGCATTTACACTCCATATCAATAGTGTTGCACTTGTGCTCAAAACTTTAATCTCAATTCCAATTGGACTCTATTTGTTGAGTAGTTTGTAGTCAATTGTGCGATCATTTGACTTATATTGTTAGCGAACCACTGATTGGACAACTCATCGGTGATCTGTTCAATGAATAGCAAGTATAGGATCGATTGGACACTAATTAGATGGCAACTAATGAATGGCTAATTGATTATAAATAACAAACAGTATTATAAGAAATAACTCCATCGCCAGAAGACTGAGCAACTGATCCAGTCTTCGGGTAGAAAATGGATTGCAATACTTAGTGAATCAGTATTTCCAGACTTGAGACAAATGTCTGCAAATTTGAAATTAGAGGCAACTTTATACTGATATTTGATCAATGGTTGTGATAATGCGTTTAGTATTAAATTCAATAAAATTATGGTAATAATGATAAATAATAATAACGTAATCATGCATTCATTGTCAATATGTTTTCCAATCAATTAATATAATGTTATAATCGATTGCACGCGACGTACAGTATATGACAGTATAACGGATGAGCGCCACTACTTCTCATTACAGCAATTAATTGACAATTAATTTAATAGCGAACTAGTCTTACCATTAAATTTTGTACATTATATTGTTATTATATTTATGTCATAATATATGCCATATATAATATATTTTTAACATTTATTTGACATTAAATAATTATTTACTTAAAGCTATTTAGCTAAGGATTAAGTTAAAGTAAAGTAAGTAGCGAAAATTGTGTTACAGTTTTAGAGTAAATCAAAATTGAGTTTTTCAAAAAGGCGTATAGCATTGACTGTACAAATAAAAACACGTGACAAATGTACAGTCAATGCTATATGCCTTTTTGAAAAACTCAATTTTGATTTACTCTAATACCGTTAAATGAGGTGAAATGTTTGGCAAACTTGAGCTCACAATATGTGGTTCAGTATCACAACTCATGGCTCGACGACAACAACACTCGACTGTACATTCAGATGGAGTATTGCCCGCAAAGTTTGCGCACAGTATTGGCCGACAAAGGGCTGGCATTTGGCAGACAATCGGCTGTACATTCAGATGGAGTATTGGCCAATATATACCTTCGGGCTAACTATATGAACAACACCTCACTCAAGTATATTGCACCTGAAGTGTTTAGCGGTTACAATTATAGCCACAAATTAGACATGTGGAGCCTAGCTCGAATTGGCACAGAGCTATTTGATGTGGATCCATGTTATGAGTATTGCTAAATATTATGTCGCTTGTTTCCAATTCATAAGTAATTTATTGAAATTTTTCTCGAATTTTATTTTATAATATATTATAAATAATTTATAAAAAATAATATTTCAAATATTAATCACTGTTTTATATTTAGTACTTTAATTTGGTTTTAAGCAAAACAGACCTTAAATATCATATAAAAAAAGAAATTTTGACAAAACTTTTATATTAATAATAGTATGAAATCACGAAATCATAAATTTGTATGAATCAAATCATTTGCCACTAATTATCTACACGTCTATCAATTAATAAATGGTTTAATTGTAGAGATCATCTTCATCGTTGGCCGCGTTGGCAAAGTTGCCCTGACCTTCAGTCGCGTTCGGCGCACCCGCGGGCTGACTGCCGGGGAATCTGGAAACACATCAATACATTAGTTACACATTTTATGCTTTCAATCATTGATAGAATCAAACCTAAAATTAGAGCCGAATCCTCGACTTTGTTGTAGAGTTTGTGAAAACATCTCGTATTTCCTAATGTCGGCGTCGCTGACCGAACGGCGGGCAAACTTCATGGCCTCCTCGAAGTGAGAGCGCGTGATCTCAGGCACGGGATCCACTTCTTCCACTTCCTGTACACAACATCGCAAACGTTATAATGAATACAATGCATAGACAGACAGCACTACAGCACTTACCATAGCGGCCGCGTCGGGATTGCCAGCCCTTTCCTTCTCGCGTTTGATCTCAATTTGGATCGACTCTCTGATGGCCAGTTTGCACGCGCGCTGACAGATCTCGGTTAAGTCGGCGCCACTGAATCCGTGCGACACTTTCGCCATATAAGCCAAATCAACGTCTGGAGCCAACGGAGACTTTCGGAGGTTTGACTGAAGAATCTTTTCCCGATTCTTCTCGTCCGGCAGAGGAATGTAAATCAGTTGATCCAAACGTCCGGGTCTTAGGATAGCCGAGTCAATGATGTCGGGCCTATTGGTGGCACCGATTATAAACACGTTCTTTTTGCTACTCATGCCATCCATTTCAGTGAGGATCTGATTAATCACTCGATCGGCTGCTCCGCCGGCGTCGCCAACGCTTCCTCCGCGAGCCTTAGCTATAGAATCCAATTCGTCGAAGAAGAGCACACAGGGAGCCGCCGCTCGCGCCTGAAATCACACACAAAGCAATGCATTAAAATCATGACTGAACTCAATCTATGAGCACATGCTATACCTTATCGAAGATCTCGCGAACGTTGGCCTCACTCTCTCCGAACCACATCGTCAACAGTTCCGGGCCTTTGATTGATATGAAGTTCGCCTGACATTCGTTGGCAATGGCTTTGGCGAGAAGTGTTTTACCACAACCGGGCGGTCCGTAGAAGAGGACGCCTCGCGAGGGAGTCATTCCAAACTTGAGGAATTTGTCCGGATATTCAACCGGGTATTGAATCATCTCTTGCAGCTCGTGCTTCACATTCTCCAGGCCTCCGATGTCATCCCACGTCACGTTCGGCACCTCTACCACAGTCTCGCGCAAAGCACTCGGACTGCTCTTTCCGAGAGCCCACCGGAAGTTATCCATTGTTACGGCCAAAGAGTTGAGTACTTCGGCGTCGATTTGATCGTCTTCTAAGTCGATTAAATCCATTTTCTCGCGGATCTGCTGAAGAGCCGCTTCGGAGCAAAGGGCGGCCAAATCCGCGCCAACAAAACCGTGAGTTTCGGCGGCCATTCTCTCCAAATCCACGTCATCCGCGAGTTTCATATTCTTCGTGTGGATTCTCAATATCTCTAGCCTTCCGGTGGCGTCAGGTATTCCAATGTCAACCTCGCGGTCGAAGCGACCGAATCTTCTGAGAGCGGCGTCGATACTATTGGGACGATTAGTGGCCGCCATTACAATGACATGCGATCGTTGCTTAAGTCCGTCCATAAGAGTGAGCAGTTGGGAAACAATACGTCTCTCGACCTCTCCGTGTGTTTTCTCTCGTTTGGGAGCGATTGCGTCCAATTCGTCGATGAAGATAATGGCCGGCGAGTTCTTCTCGGCCTCTTCGAAGGCTTTGCGTAGATTGCTCTCCGATTCACCGGCGAGTTTGCTCATGATCTCAGGCCCGTTGATCAGGAAGAAGAAGGCGCCCGTTTCGTTGGCCACCGCGCGTGCGATCAGTGTCTTACCGGTTCCCGGGGGTCCGTACAGGAGTATACCTCTGGGAGGCTTCACTCCGATAGCCTTAAAAAGACTCGGGTGTCTGAGCGGCAGTTCCACCATCTCTTTGATTTGTGCCAATTGCTTACGACAGCCGCCGATGTCGTCATAGCCGACAGAGTTGAGAGAGTCCTCCTCTTCCTCTCTCTTGACGGGTTCGCCCTCACAGTGAATGACAGTATCGGGCGCTACGATACAGAAGGGCGACGGATCCGTCTCAACCACTTTGAACTCAACGGCTCTCATGCCTCCCCTCACGATGAAGAGGTCGCCCTTATGTATGGGTCGATACGCTTCCAAGAAGTATGGTTTGAGGTAAACGTCGAAAATACTTCCCGTCAAACCCTCGACAGTGTCGTCGATGGGCAGCACATGAATGCGTTTGCCGTACTTGACGTCAGGACACGGCTGGACAGACACCACATCACCCAAACGGACGCGAAGATTGTTACGAATGCAACGATTCATTCGGATCTTCTCGTTAGGACACGACTCGTCCGACAGAACAATACAAACCGTTTCGCGTCTTTTCTTGCCTTTGAGGAGAACGGTATCGCCTCTGAAGAGCTGCAACTCATCCATCTTCGCCTATAATCATACCATTCATTGTATTCATTGCTAAACCAATTAACACTCTTTGTGCCCGAAGTCTCACCTGAGATAAGGCCACCACAGAGTTGTCATCATTGGCCGCCTCTTCCACGAGAAGCCGATTCGGCTTTTGTTTGGTCTTTAATATAGCGGTTGACAAGTCATCGGCGCTGAAGACAAGAATGAGTTTAAAATTAGTTTTTGGCAATCATTTAGTCATTTAATTTCATTTAAAAGCCGGCAATCAATTCAATGCTATACTTATGCTTCTTATCAGCCATTGTTTAAGGTATTGAATGGACCAAAGGATTGATTGAACGATCGGTTCCAGAGGTATAACAATGTGTGAGAAGATTGGATCAAATGATAGGTTTTGTTGAGTTAATGATCACTAAAGAGACACTCAATTAAACTTAAAATGTATTCAATTATTGTTGAGTCACTCGAAGTCTCAAATAGTCTCGCATAACATGACTACTCCTTACCACTGAGTTTGCGCACACTTTCACTACAAACTCACTATAATTACCATTAGTTTGATTAATTGCTATTATTTTTACTCATTATTCATTGACTTGTATTTTATAAAATACACATTAATTACTCAATTTGTTTATTAATTATCATAAGTTGTGTTTCAAATGCCCAATCAATATGTATTTTCTATGAGACGTTTCCCATACAGAGGTTATTGACATAATTTGAAAACAAATTGTAAAAAGGAGAAAGAAAGTGCTCGAAACTTGAGTTCAAAACTAAACAAAATTAATTGAAAATTAATAGATTTAATTAACATTAATACAAAAATGACTGTTATTGTATCAACTGAATGATAATCATTGAGTTTTACGGCCAAACTGTGGTCTAAATCACAATTGAAATCAATATAATATGCATTTTGTGAGCAAAACTGTCGACTCATTACAAAGTTTTTGCAGACATTAATAGCCGTATTCAAAGACGTAAAATAGAGCACCAACTCATGCTTTATGTGAAGAAAAGTTTCAATTCTCATTCATAGACAACAACTCCAAGAGTTGGAACTCCTAATAATAGAGTCCCATAATTATCAGACTCTACCCTGAACAGTTGGCTTACTAGTATAACATTAAGATAAAGTACAGTCAATAGTAACACAACCTGTCAAACAGGGTTCAGGACTCACGCACTGATGTCATAGTTTATAAACTTAAGCCAATAGCAAATGCGTTTACAATGTGCGNTGTCATAGTTTATAAACTTAAGCCAATAGCAAATGCGTTTACAATGTGCGCAACAATAGAGATCCAACTTTTAACATTTCATTTATGAATACAAAATAAAGTCTGAGTTCCAACTCAATCTCTAAACTAGTTTTTAAGAGTTCCAACTCAAACTCAAACTCAATTTTGTCTTTGAATACGGCTATAAGTGTTGCGTTAGTTTTGAACCGTATTTCTGGGCATAACTTTTGTTTGGCTCTTAATTGCCGTCATTTATGGCAATATTTTTTGTTTATTTAGTTTTTTGATAACAAAATTGTTTTATCAAAAAGTGATAGCATTTTGAAAGAAATGATCATTTCATAGATATTTACCTTTAATTGTCTTCTCATTTGACGTTCAATTCAATACAAAAAACACTGTTTTTTGATAATAATTGCAAACAATTACTTAAATCACAGATTTTTATATAAATAATTGAATCCATTTTTGCGTCAAAATTATGGCCGGAATTAAAGGTTTGTCTGAATGTCTTGTTTTGCCGATTGTTTTGTTTGCCATTTGTGTTGATTGTTATAACCATTACAACCGCTGACGCAATGTTTGTCTCATTTTATGTCTCATCCAAACGACTACTTATGGAAATGAATGCCAATTATAGCGTAAGACATGTCTGAATGCATGAATTAATACATGCATTGAATAATTGAAACAATAATTAATAATCAATGAATTTGTATCTCATTTAACCAAAGGTTGGTTTTATTGGCATTTCTGGGATCTATTGGTATGACATTAGTTGTGTTGGGCTGTGCTTTGCCTACATTTGGACCGTAAGTACACGACAATAGTATGTAAGCGATGGCACATATGCTAACAGTTGTGTCATGCAGTTCTTGGTGGCCATTCTTTGTGGTGATCTTCTATGTGTTGGCGCCGTTGCCATCAATTATTGCCCGAAGATATCAGGACGACGTCGGCTCCAGTAATGCGTGCAAAGAGTTGGCGCTCTTCTTGACGGCCGGTATTGTCATCTCTGCCTATGGACTGCCTATTGTGTTGAGCCGATCACCACTCACTCCCAGTGCTATCGTTAGTCACTTTGATTACTCTATTATTACTTTTAACACATTATATCATTCATAATAAGCATAATATATATGATATAAATTATGTTTTAATGACGAATACTGTGTAATGATTTGCATTATATGTTGATGTATTGGTTTTGTTCAATTTATACCGGCATATGGTTTACGTTATAATATTATAATTATTATTATGATTAATATATTTATTTAATTTTGATGATTACATGTAATGAATGTAACGCTAATTAATGATTGTCTGTACGTGTATTGTCTTGCAGATAGAGCCGGGCGCTTGTGTTTTAGTACTGTTGGGAAATACAGTCGTATTTTTGACAATTTTAGGATTTTTTATTGCTTTTGATAACGAAGACGACGGCTATAATATGTGGTAATAAATATCTATTCATACGAATGTATTGTACAGTAAGTCACACGAGTTATCACATCGTGGAAGAAGTCATTTCACTTCAAGACAGGTCACGATTTGAAACCACTTTTCATTCAATATTTATTTTTTTGTTTGTTTTAAAGAATTACTAAATACGAAAACAATAATTGTCTAAATTTATATAATTTTGTCTTTTATCTTGTATTTTCTAAAATGTATCATTTTTTCTATAAATTGCGAACGCATTTAAATCAATAACATTTTGGATTATGATTTATTTTATATTATATAAATAGTATTGTTTTAAGGATTGATTAAGACATTGATTTAAAGTCCGAACTTTTGACATTTGCTTAAATCCGTTCCCTTCTCTTCCCTTTGCCAATAAGTTTATGGAGAAAATTGAGTTAAAACTTGTATTGTTATAACAAAATGTATTACTATTTAGACATGGATTTGATTCACTAAGTGGTTAAATCATAGCTGAAAACAATTTGAGTAAACAATAATTAATAAGCTTTTTATCAGAATATTTGTGTTTGAAATTTGAATATTTTCTTTTTGAATGTATTGAACAAAAAGCATAAATACAAAATAGTATTGTTTTAAGGATTGATTAAGACATTGATTTAAAGTCCGAACTTTTGACATTTGCTTAAATCCGTTCCCTTCTCTTCCCTTTGCCAATAAGTTTATGGAGAAAATTGAGTTAAAACTTGTTGTTATAACAAAATGCATTACTATTTAGACATGGATTTGATTCACTAAAAAGTGGTTAAATTGGTGGTTAAATTTTAAGTGGTTAAATCATAGCTGAAAACAATTTGAGTAAACAATAATTAATAAGCTTTTTATCAGAATATTTGTGTTTGAAATTTGAATATTTTCTTTTTGAATGTATTGAACAAAAAGCATAAATACATACAATGAAGAGTGCGTTCAGATCCACACTAAAGGATTTACGGGTGTTTTTTAAGTTAAGGGGATTGGCGTGTATTAGCAATTGAGTGGTGATCCCAGTGCCCGACCACCACATTGTGTCCACTTTATAGGATTTAAATACAAAGTTCGGACTATAAGTTGAATGAAAAGACATTCCTATTATACAGGTTTTTACATACAATGTAAGACTAAATGTATATAAAATTAATACAATTTCCTTTGAAAAGATGTGAACAAAAATCAATTTTATTTGAAAAACAAACATTTAAACAATGCATACTTTATTTGGTAAATTAATTACTTCATAATCCATATTAATTTATATGAATGTAGTAATAATTTTATGTAATTTAAAATCATGTCAAATACCAATATTTACTCTACTTATAGGTATATAAAATATACTGTAATTTAATTGGTTATTTAATTTACATTTTAATTAATTAATATAATAATAACTTTATTTTAGATTAATTTGAATTTGATTTTTTTGGATAAATTATTGTCAATTAAATAAATGAATAAATATTTATTTGATGAGAAAAAAGAGTCGTAAATGTATGACAGGTTTTGGCGGATAGAAAAGCCAACAGCGAGAGAGAGAGAGAGATAAGAGCAAAGCGTATACAGTATTTGAAAGGCTATAAATAATTTTGAATCTTATTATTCGTTACCACTATTTGGTGGTCTCCTATTGAAAAGAATCGAAGAGAGAGAGAGAGAGAGAGAGAGAGAGAGAGACGAGCGAAACTTATTTTTCACTTGAATTCATGTCTATAACTAATCGATTCTTTTCAATAGGAGACCACCAAATAGTGGTAACGAATAATAAGATTCAAAATTATTTATAGCCTTTCAAATACTGTATACGCTTTGCTCTTATCTCTCAATTCAATTAGAGAACCGTTTTTAGAGAAAACTGTTTTTTCTTCTCTTTAATTCATATTTAGTTTAGTTTGAAATCAAATGTTTGATCGAATGGTTTATTATAAATAAAATAAATATTCAATACATAGAAAATATGCGCTCAGACTCTATGTGCTTAAAAGTAATGCCAAGTTTTGGGCCAACTATTCTGAATATTCACTCGATTACTAAAAGACATAAAAGCTTTAAAGTGATTAAAGAGTCATAAAATTTATGAATTCTTATCAAAACGACCCGTAAGTGAAAGAGTCGTAAGTGTAAGTCATTTATTAATTGCATTTTAAGTCATTGTTTGTCTCGTTGTGCAAACTATTTGATGCGCTTTTTTGAGTTGATTTTCATAGCAATCGGTATTAATTTGAATGAATATAAATAAAAAGCAAATATATATGAATGCGATGGTTATGATTGCATTGGATGTGTTTGGATGTATTGGTGGTATTGGAGAGGCATTGGAGGGATCGTTAGGTGGCGTCCATTGGAGACAGGATTGGATGTATTGTGCGTTTTGGGAATGATTTAATGGGACCACACATCGAGTTACCTACTTATATGAATTGCTGGCTTTTACTACACAACCAGCTCTACCAACACTACCAGAGCTGCTCCACCAGATATACACTCAGTCCTGCACTCACAGCACAGTCTTATATTCTTTACGTCTTAGAGAGGAGAGAGAGGTATAGAGAGGTAGAGCTGGCGATGAAGTTATAAAAGGAAGGCTAATATAATTGTGACCACCAGTCCGTCCGTCCGTCACTGACTCGCCCTAACTCTAAGGCACAGACCCTACAGACAAGAGAGAGAGAGAGAGAGAGAGAGAGCTCCACTGGCAGGACTGGCATGTCTTGATGGACACTCTCTAGATATGGTGCTCAGCGTTCATGACCTCATCCGCTGCCACACACGGAGAGCACATATACTCAATACATATGACTCTATATATAAGAAGTTTTATAATTTCTACGCGCATTTGCACACAGACTGCCGCTTATGCATTGCAAATGCCGTATAGTTTGCCTCCTCATGGTTGGTGTTGTGCCCCCCTTTGGCCCCCACCGCATTGTGTGGTCCCTTTCACTCTTAAACTTGTTGCCCGAGAACTAAGAGAGGGCTTGGGATGGCAGCCAATGGGATGCCAACAAAAGAGTAATCAATCTTCGGTGAAATGCTGGGGAAGGAGGGTCTCAGAGGGTCTGTAGGGTCTGTGCCTTAGAGTTAGGGCGAGTCAGTGACGGACGGACTGGTGGTCACAATTATATTAGCCTTCCTTTTATAACTTCATCGCCAGCTCTACCTCTCTATACCTCTCTATACACTCTCTCACTCCGTGTATACCACTCTATGGGCACCAGTATTGCCACAAACCCGGACTCAATGCCTGTTCAACAGAGTTGTGTCTCACTGTGGGCTCCAAATGCCTCCAAAACTAATACCCGATTCCTATAAGAGCTGTAGTATTAAGGCTTGAGTTGAGCCAAGACTTCACATAACGTCTCTTTTACTGCGTTTTTGAGCCTAACTTTTGAGTGCTTTCAAGACATAGCACTGCCTATCAGTGCCTACCAGTGCCTCAACACTCACTACCAGTGCCTCAAACGCTACCTAACAGTGCCTTCAGTGCCACCAAAGCCACAGAGTGTCCCACTATTGTCGACACTAAACACATCCAATACTGGCCATCACTTATGGCCACTGTTCACCACTTATGGACCAAATTGTGTGTCTATTAGGTCCAGAGGTGTGACACCAAACATGCTTTGATACCAACAATGATTACCACAAATCTCGCCAATAAGTGTGAACCATCCCAAGCGAGTCCACACTATCAACCGCTGGCCGCCGATGTCTCCCTTCTCACCCGGACTTCTTGGGTGGACGCCAAGACTGCCCTCAACCAAATCGATAAGGTTTGTGTCATCGCTGCCATCCCTGTCCTCACTGTCCCCTCGATGTCCTCATTGTTGTATTGTTTTGAATGATAGGGCAAAGCGTCGGGCAATGCATCGGCACTTTGGGTGCGAACCAAACTCCAGACATATCTCTACGATTTGGGTCTTTTCATACAGAAAAATGCCGGAAAAGTACTGTTTGTCGGACTTCTGGTACTCATCACGTTCTGTGTGGGCCTGAAATCGGCCACAATTGAGACCAATGTCGAGCGGCTATGGGTTGAAGGTATGTCTTGTAAAACAGTGTCTGTTTACCAATCATTTGAATCGATATTGTCATGGATTAGAGGGCGGAAGACTCGAGAAGGAGATGAAATACATCCGAACCACTTTAGGAGAGGGTTTTGGGAGCACTAATCAAATTGTGATCCAAACTCCAAAGAGCACCGGAGCCACTGTTCTCCATGAAAGCGCTCTATTACTACACCTCCAGGCCATGAAAGTGGCCACTAAAGTGACTGTTGATATGTTTGAAGTGTAAGTCATGTCCACAACTTTTGTATCAATAGCGAGACATTAGTTATTTAGACTAAACTGTTGTCAAATTGTTTACAACAATTAGAATTTGTTAAAACAAGGCTTAATATGAAGAAAGTATTGTATATTTAGTGCAAATTAATATTAATATGAATTTTGTCCACTTGTAGGACGTGGAGACTCAAAGACATTTGTTATTCGCCGAGTATTCCCAGCTTTGATACTCATTATATCGATTCAGTAAGTAATCCATTGTATAATTTATTATTAGAAAGTGATGTAAATACTAATTATTAAAACATTTGAATTGATTTGTTTGCGTTCAGATGCTTGAGAATCTGTTCCCATGCGCTATAATCACACCATTGGACTGTTTCTGGGAGGGCGCCAAACTCCTGGGCCCCGAATTCCCGGTCCCTATTCCGTGAGTTTATCACACGTTCACTCAAATGGTTGAACCCGTGTTTCTAACTGTGATTTATACTATGATTGTAGTGGACTCGGTATTAACGTCCAGTGGATTAACTTAAATCCCGAGCTTCTCATCGAAACAATGATGTCTTCAATGAGAGGACCAGAGGGTCAACCGAACACTTTCCCATTTTCAACACTCGTTAAATTCATGAAAAGGGTATTTTACTGCCAGTTTTGGACACATTTATGGTTTGCTAATTGAAATTAATGTATTGTGAAAAAGGCTGGAATAACGTCTGCCTACCAAAAGAAGCCCTGTTTAGATCCAACAGACATCAACTGTCCGTCAACCGCACCAAACAAACAGTCGGGTCTGACACCAGATATTGGCGCCGAGTTGACCGGTGGGTGCTATGGGTTCGCCACTAAATTCATGCATTGGCCCGAAGACCTCATCATCGGTGGTGTCAAGAAGAATAAAACGGGTCATATAGTGCGCGCCAAAGCTCTTCAATCTATCATTCAATTGATGGCCGAACAAGAGATGTATGAGTTCTATCAGCACACATACAAAGTCCATAACCTGGACTGGTCTGTAGATAAGGCCCGTATGGTTCTCGAGGCCTGGCAGAGGAAGTTCGCTGAAGTGAGTCCATCACCTGTCCATCACTTGATTGCAATTGATATTAATATTGAATGATTGTCTGATAGGAAGTGCAGAAGTTTACGAACAACGACCACAATCTCAAACATCAAGACATCCATCTCTTTACGAGCACTTCATTGATGGATATAATGAAGAATTTTTCAGATGTGAACGTGAAAAGGGTTGCGATTGGATATATACTTATGTTGGTTTACGCCGGATATTCGCTCTCTAAGTGGAACAGTACTGGCGATTCACTCAGTCTTCTGGGAATAGCAGGCGTTATAATTATTGGTCTTTCAGTCGCCGCTGGACTCGGATTTTGCGCTTTAATTGGCTTAGCATTCAATGCCTCCACAACTCAAGTAATTTAATGACAATTTAATGATTTTATCAGAACTTGGAGTTAAAATATTGCCTATTTATATGTGAATAGATAATCCCATTCCTGGCTCTGGGAATAGGTGTGGATAATATGTTTCTGTTGGCGCACACATACTCTCAAAATTCGGCGACACCTTTCAAAGTATGCATTTGAGAGACACATAAAATATATATAAATATTAATACTCTTTCTAATGATGTTTCAGAATAAAAGTGGTGAATGTCTGAAACAGATTGGATCCAGTATTTTGCTCACTTCATTTGGCAACATCTGTGCCTTTCTCGCCGCTGCAATCATTCCCATTCCAGCCCTCAGATGCTTCGCTCTTCAGGCGGCGATTCTCATAGCATTTATCTCAGTGTCGGTCATATTCCTGATCCCAGCGGTGGCCAGCATTGACCTCAGGAGGAGTCGGACAAAGCGAAAGGATAAACCGTGTTGTCTATACACTAGTGTTTCAAACACTGATACCACTAATCAAATGAAGTCGAGTCACAAAAAACTGTTTCATAAGAATAAAAACGATATTAAGAAGTGTATCGTTCAGGCACTGCCACCCGACCGCTCACATGTGGTCACTATTTTAGCGTCTGATAAGAGTGTCAAACAACCATTTCTATGTAAAAATGATCAAAAATTGTGTAAATGTGCTGCAAATGACAGTCAAGTGAGAGAACAGTGTGCTCTGGATGTGAACAAAGTGGACAAACAGTGCAAAAATTACAACAAATATACATTAACTTATTTCGCAGACAATATCTACGGACCAATTCTGCAACGAAAACCAGTGAAAGCAGTCGTTGTGTTCATGTTTTTAGTGATTTTAATAATCAGTGTTACGGGTCTGTTACGCGTCGACGACGGACTCGACTTAACAGATATAGTGCCGCGAAATACCATTGAATATAGATTTCTTAGTTTTCAGAGAAAATATTTTAGTTTTTTTAATATGTTTGCCGTAACTCAGGGTAACTTTGAATACCCCAACAACCAGAAGCTGCTTCACGAATATCATCAGGCGTTCACTCGTGTCGGACCCATCATTAAGAACGATGACGGAGGACTTCCCGAGTTCTGGCTCACTATGTTTAGGGACTGGTTGTTAGGTCTTCAGGAGGCCTTCGACAGGGACTGGAAGAATGCATGCATTACTCGCGAGAATTGGTTCGCAAACGCGTCCGACGAGGGAATACTAGCGTACAAACTGTTAGTTCAAACCGGAAGGGTTGACAATCCGGTCGACAAGTCATTGGTATACATATTAGTAATGGATTGTCTAATAAGTTAGAGATGTAATAAACTTTGATTTAATCGATAGGTATTAAGTATGCGATTAGTGGATGAGGTCGGAGTGATTAACCCGAAAGCCTTCTACAACTACTTGACGGCGTGGGTGTCGAACGACGCGTTGGCTTACTCTGCATCTCAGGCCAGTTTCAGACCAGAGCCGCGTCAATGGATTCACGTGGCGCAAGACGTTGAGCTCAAAATCGCGAAATCGCAACCTTTAGTCTACGCACAAATGCCTTTCTATTTAAATAACATGAGAACTACAGCGGAGATCACGGATACGATTGAAGTGATTCGAGCCATTTGTCAGAAGTTTGAAGACAAAGGACTTCCAAACTTTCCGACAGGAATTCCATTTATATATTGGGAACAATACGTTAGACTTCGGTTCTACTTATTTTCGGCACTCGTTGTCGTATTGGCCGCAGTATTTCTAGTGATCAGCGCCTTTTTGCTCAACCCCTGGACCGCAACCCTTATTGTCGCCATTTTAATCATGATTGTCATTGAATTGTTTGGTCTCATGGGTTGGCTCGGCATTAAACTAAGTGCTGTTCCCGCGGTTATACTTATAGTGTCCGTTGGAATTGGTGTTGACTTCGTTTCTCACATAACTCTGGTATGTATTGGATATGAAGAAGAGAAGCATTTTGTTATAATTTTGTGAAATATTGTGTATTCGCAGAGCTTTTTGATGAGTATTGGGAGCAGAAACCACAGAATGAGAATGGCTTTACAGCATATGTTTACTCCCGTCACTCATGGCATTGTCTCAACACTATTCGGGATCGTTATGTTGGCCTTCTCTGAGTTTGATTTTATTATAAGGTATTTAACCATTATTTATAGCTTGTATTAACTCATTAACTAATAGTTGATTATTTGTTCAGATATTTCTTTTATGTGTTATTTGGAGCGGTATTATTGGGAGCACTCAATGGATTGGTATTACTGCCAGTCCTCCTCTCCCTGATTGGTCCTCCATCTGAGATAATCCCATTCGACTACGAGGACCGCATATCGACTCCATCCCCGGACCCGTCTCCGTGTGTGAACCGCAAAAAGCAGCGCTCAGTCAGTGGTCCGTACTTTTCTCGCCGAACGTATCCGAGAGTTCAGTCGGAAATATCTCTGTCGACGATATCAGAAGAGCCGCAATCATACCATTCTTCTCATGAGATTGTGGTTCAGCCGGAATTCGTTGTCGAGACCACTACTATCACTAACCCAATGACCGGTTGCACTCAAACCATATCACAAACGTCTACCTCAGCCTCTACTACACCCACGTCTACTAATGAGGTACAGAAGCTAATGATTTTATAAATGATATTTCAATCGTTTCTAATAACCATATAATTGTTTGTATAGACAAATGCATCGGAGAGTCCGACGCCATCGACTGATCGCGAAAGTCCGGCAATGAGTGAAAGCAGCGGCACGTCGTCTATGAGTGATAACAGTTGTGGTACCAAATCATCACTACCTCCTCAGGGCTTATGTCAGTCTCAATCTCAACATACGGTCACCACTAAAGTGATGGCAACCGCGAAGCTTAAGGTTGAAGTCCACGCGCCTTATATTGATAGGGAATTTAACTACAATAGCAATAGTCGGCCCAACAGTCGGAATAGAGATCATTGCCGAAGACATAGTCGCGCGTCTGACGCATAAAAAACAATTAGTTTTGTATTTAATTAATTTAAACTCAAGTTATAGAGTAATTGGAGATTAAATGCTTTTAAAAACGATTAAACAATATTTAATACCAAAAGCTTTTAATCGAAATTATTTTCAAAATAATTCTAATTAATAATGAATTAATAATTCATTGAAATTATTTAAAATAATTTACACTTTTGTGTCTTATTTCGTAATAATTGACATTTTCTATATTAATATAATTTATTGAAACATTTATATATAAATCTCATCCAATGAACAAACAATCATTTTATTGAATGCATTCATTAAATGTGTAAATATTCGCAACAAATCATTCATTTTTCAAATATTAGAAAATCTATGAATTTATTGGAAAAAAGGGTATTTTCATTGAAATATTGTTCAATTATTTATTTTTTTAAAATAAAACATTTTGAAAATACTGATAATTATAAACGATTTTTTTATAAATATTTGAAATTAAATTTTGTATTTATTTAGAATATAAAGAATATTATATTTTAATAAATTTTGATGTTTTAGCTAAATATCAAATACTTATCATTAATTTATTATTAATTTCATATAATATTATTTATAATGTTATCTATTATTTGAAAACGCCTAAAATTCCCATGTTGCCGGGACGGAATTTATTGATTGGTTGGTCATCGATTGGTCATTTGACTACATTTTTGTCTTATTTTCTTTATTTTAAGGAATATAAAGAATTTTTGGCGCAAAACTATTTTCCTAGAATATATTTTTCAAAAATGGGAAATGGATAACATTAATTAATAAATATATGTAAATCTATAATCCAATCATTTCTTAACTTTTGTATAAGTTTGAAAAAAATAAAATATAATTCTGACGAATAATTTTGTCAGAATATCATTAGTAAACGGTTGTGTCCAGACATGTCTACAACTGGTGCGGGAATTGGTCACTTAACAAAGTGCCGGTCTATTCGACAATTATAATAGAGTACCGCTTGTTATCAATCGGTCCTTCAATGCTCACCAATTGTTCTCACAATCAAAACAATGATTGCAAAGACGGGTCAACTCGTAAACAGTCGTGATGTCTAACCAAAGCATTCTGCAAATCATATCAATGATAGGACTATAAGGGAAACGCAAAACTTTGAATTTGTATTAAATTTGGTTTAGATTGATAGCAATATATTGTGAGCCAATTTAGTTATTGATTTAATTTTTAGTGTAAAATTATTGATTTATCATCAAAACTGCAAAACGACTTGTTATGTGATTCAATGTCGGAGGGGTTGCGAAATAGTTATGCGAAAGATATCTTAGAATTAGAGATTTGTTGGGCTTAAAGAGGATCTTCTTATACAATATTAAGTGGAGTTTTATTTTTGCACAAATTTCTACATTTAAGATGTTTTAACAAAACAGTGGAAAATACTTCTGAGATTTGAAGTAAAGTTAAAAATAATCTTAATATTTGGGGAGTACTGAACCAATTGAAACATAAATATTATGATTGTCTATTTTTGACAAAATTGGTGTGTTTTATGTTATAATAACTAACCCATAGTCTACTTCCTAACAGTTTAAGAATATTCTTACAAATAAAACACCAATTAATTCAAAAGTCATTCATTTATAGAAGAAATTCTTAACGAGAATATAAAATATTAGAAATTCTCAATAAAATGTAATATTAATTATTGTGATAATTAAAATACTTTGGCCCAAACTGTATAATGTTACTACATTCAAATATTGAAATAATTTGGTTATCACAACAATTTATTAAGTTAGAATATTATATTTCACATGCCAATATTAATATAATGATTATGTCTATTACTTATAAGGCCAAACAATAGTCGGCACCTGTTACTACATACCGTAAAATATGTTAAAATGCCCTAGGGCAATAAGCACAAGTTTGTCATTAACTTACATATTGGCATATTGTTTAAATAAGGTGATTTGTTTATATCAGTTATCAAACTTGTAGTAATATGGAATTAATTCTAAATTTGATAAAGTATATTGACCATGATCAACGATACTCAAATAACCCATGAAACCATTATATTATTAAATAACATGGTTTAATAAGAGTTATATTTTAGGTCTATATTTAACTTCAAAGCGATTGACATTATGATTGCCAACATTATTAAAAGCCTAACAAAATAGCATTGACTGTATTAGAGCTTGGTACATGTACATGTTTTGTATTGCATGGTATTGTCTCACAGATGGGGGCGTTGATTTATTTTCTAATAATCTTGGCAGTAATAATGACAAAAGCCATGAAGTAATGTCAATTTTATTGTCTCTTCCATAGTATTCAACAACTCTTACTATCTATAAATGCTATTCTCTTATATATTATATAAATTATAATGTTACATAATTTTAAAATATCATTATTAACTCTAAACAATATGGAATTAATTCTAAATTTGATAAAGTATATTGACCATGATCAACGATACTCAAATAACCCATGAAACCATTATATTATTAAATAACATGGTTTAATAAGAGTTATATTTTAGGTCTATATTTAATGTCAATTTTATTGTCTCTTCCATAGTATTCAACAACTCTTACTATCTATAAATGCTATTCTCTTATATATTATATAAATTATAATGTTACATAATTTTAAAATATCATTATTAACTCTAAACATACAGTTTAGTTATTTACAGACTGTATAATACAGTACTTTAGCTAAATCTTAAGCTCAGAATTTTGGCCAATTCTTCAATAAAGTAACTGTAAATCATTTGAACGGAAATTATATGACATTAGTATTTGAATTATAAATTATAGTTTATAACTAATAATCGACCAAAACCTCAAATTTAATTGATTTTGGTCGATATTATTTTTACAATTATTAAATTGTAATTTGTATAAAATTTTAAAATTATAAAATAATTATTTATTTAATATTTTTTATGATATAAAATTTGTTGAGATAATATTGGGATGAAATATATGTGCTGTAAATGTCATAAATATAGTAAACGGAAAGAATTAAATTGAATGTCAAATGAATGGAGGAATTGAATGAATTTGAGGACACGCTGTGGGCGTTGAGGACTAAACTTAAACTCAATAACAAGTCTATGGTATGAAATAAACCGCTTTAAAGTTTGCTTAAGATTTGATAAACTAAAACAAAATAACTGTATTTATAATTAATATACTTTTGAGTTTTGTTGGAAACATTTCTTTTAAAATATTATTATTTATAAATAAAATGTTTAATAAAATTACAATCATTTTCTTAATTATTTTTATTAGAAATATGAATAAAATAATAAAAACATTGAGTTTAATATCTGTATGGTTTGGAATAAATTATTTTTAAAATTAATTAATAATTTAAATTGGTGAATTTATTTGTTTAATTAAATACGTTTATAAATATAATAAAAGTGATTGATTTTGGATGAATGAGAGCTCAGATCATCATCAGCTCAGTTAACCATCAATTAATGAATACATTGAGAGCACAGATAGAGTACAACACATAATACAACAGCGATTAATAAATTTGTTAAACAATTTTCTACAACAACTCCAAAATTTAATCATTATATTAGTTGTTATTTGCAAACCAACCGTTGAAGACATTTTGTGGTCAAAGTTTCGCTTAAACTTAAAATAAAAATCTATGGCTTCAGTATTGGTTATAGTAATTAACGTGCGATACATATGCTATAACTTATGGATTGTATTAAAATGAGATGAAGTTAATTAATGTGAAAATCATGAATCCAGTTGTTTAACACTCGTATATATGTCTAACACATATACTTCTTGCACTTCGCATACTCTGCGCCCGAAAGAGCGGCGTTCTTGAAGACTCCCATTTTGCTGACCATCCAATTCGGCACTATTTTCTCCATTACACTGTAATATAACCGTACATTTCATTCAATCAAATCAATTCATAACTTATCAAGTTTATGCAAACTTACGTCAAAACAGTACTTTTGCCCCGAACTCCACTCATGGCATCTCTGTTTATTCAGAATAAGTAATTCATTAGTTTATTATTAAATACAATACAAAATGCATTGAATGAGTGAATACTAACCCGAGTTCACAAATAATACGATTCATACAGTCTTCCTTCTCGACGGCAGTCCTATATATAGAGTAATATCGCTCTAATCTATCGATATAACCATTCATTGAGGCGTCTTTATTGTCATCGATGGCTCGTTTCCTTCTACCGGTTGAGCCCAAACTAGTGACGGTTGGGATCAATAGACTGAGACCCGCGAGCGCTAACATTGGCATCAGAATTGATGAAAGACCGTATTTCCTGAACCCAGAGCCGGAAGAGGCCTCGTATGTGGGCTGTTGTCCACTCGCAGCGGCAAAGTTGCCGTAAGAGGGCTGTCCGTTGGGGAATGTATAGCCACTTCCCTGACTTCCCTGACCACTGAATGGCATCTGAATAGGAGTGGCCGAAGCCGATGAAAAGCTGGGATGAGATGACGCCGAGTGAAGTGCCTCTCCCTGTGAGCCAAAGCTTGCGGACGGACTCGAAGCGGATGAGCCATAAGAAGATGCGGACGAATCGGAATTATAGGACGGATACGAACCCTGAGAACCACTGCCATAGGAGGAAGGGTTTGATCCAAAGCCGTACTGTTGTAATTGAGAGGCAAGACTACTGAGTTGCTGGTCATAAGAGGCACCATTTTGTGCGTTATATTCGCTGCCAATTCCTTGTCCCAAATTCTGAGTGCTATAACTCAGATCCTGTGCGCTATAACTCAAGTCCTGTCCCGAAGCGGCCGAATCCAGACTGGAATGGGCTGTGGAGTCGGCACCTGAGACCTGACCACTCGGCACACTATTGGCGAAGTTAGGGTTGACTGCACTGGAGTATTGGTTGGAAGGGCTGGCGTGATATGTGGCGTCTTTGGGCTTTTCCTGCACCGGATAGTAGTAATAGTAGAGATTTCCCTGCGATGACGGCTGCGATTGATAACTAGCACTGGAAGCAGAGGCAGAGGGGCTGTGGTCTGAGCCGTACTGATTGGCACCAGGACTGGGAGCGGCGTAACTATCCCGGGATGCATATGAGTTGGAGTTATAGGCGCTCGAAGAGCCCGGAGTATAGCTTCCCGAAGACGCCGACGATGAAGATGACGGTGAATACACGGGTTGATTGTTGGATCCAACACTTCCGACGGCAGCACTTCCGCTGCCATTTGAAGCCACGTATTCTTCCCGTTTGACAGCTGCCGGTGCGACAGTAATAACCGTTAGTATCACTAAAACTCTAAACATTGTATCGATTATTGTGTAGAACTGATGAGAACTGAAATTATAATAATAATAATAAACTTAATCTTAGATCGCGTTTACAATGACTGCAAGATTCGTATAATGTCTTAAGACTGGATGTCTTGGACTCATACCTTATGATTAGAAATGTGTGTTAATTTGGCACCACTTGTCTAATTGGCTGCACTTTTTTGTGGACAGTCATCAAGTGTTGCACAGATGAGTGACAAACAAATTGATTCTGATTCCGGTTAATGTAGTGCTTTTGCATTAAATACGGGCCCACAGACTATAGGCGTTCACTATACCAATGTTGAGTTGACTCAAGACACGAGAGAACAGTTAGTCTTACACAACAACACTATGGCCTAAGACTGAAGTAATTCATTAATTTAGATGATTGGAAGTGCTGTGTGTGTTGGGAGGGCTGTTGGCCTAACGGGGAGTTTCTTGTAAATGTTTGATACGGATGTCGGCATTAGGTTTATGTAAGTGAATAGAGTATGGATGAGACAACCCTTGATAGGCCTCAGGCATCGGACGTCACCTAATTCTGTGCTTTTCTCGTACTCGTTGTCAGCAAAACAAGTGAGCCTTTAAGCTGTTTGCAGAGTTACAACACTACTGGTAGGCTGTGATGGCATAACAGCACCAATACATGCGTTAGCCTTAGCCTTGACCGACCAGACCATTACATCGCTGACCCGTTTTTCTCGCCTAAGGGATACCCGAAATAGAGACCTTCCAAACCTTCGCAAACATTGCAAACATTGCAAACCTTCCGCATTCTGTTTCGGTCGTCGACCTCCACATCACTTGATGAGCGCCGGAGGTCAAGGACAGGGTATCTGTGCTCACAATCCTTTACCCATCTTCTCATAGCATCGATCATTCATTTCAATTTTATGGGGTTATTGCGCCACTGGTTCAGCCACTGGTGCAGCCAATTGTGCGCTTTCGGCTCCTTTCGGCAGCACAGCTGCGGCTTTACGTTTAGTGTACTTTTCGTAGGCATTGGGATACCGATTGTGTGCACAACTCTCCGCTCACTTGCACTCTATTACCACTCATACCATTCCCTATCTCTATATACAGTATATATAAATTGTTTCAATTTCTTCCCAAACCATCACTTCAGCCACAGTTGAAGTGACCTTTCAGTGCAACGAGTGCTGCGTTAGGGCTGGTGTCGGGTCTTTGAAGGTTATGCAGTCAGACTATAACACTATTTGTTAGGTTTTGTAAATATTTTTAAGTTTATTAAACTAGCATTTTGTGGGTTATCATAGAGTCGTAACTTTAAAGCTTTATAACTAATCAATCAATCGATCATTTATTTAAAGTCAAGTGACAAATACCTGTTTAGCACTCATTCAAGTCTTTTTCCAAAACTTGTACTCTACTGTATGACAGAGATTACTATTTTGTAACTTTACAAACATTACAATAACATCACTGTTCAAACTCATGCCTAAATAATTGTTAATAACTTATAAAGCAATTATAAAACAATTAAAATTGAAATCTTTATTTATAATATTTTAGTTTACTATTAAGAAATGATTCATATATTTAGTGCTTGAATAATAATTTATCAAATATTCCTTACAATTGAAATAATTTTATGAAATAAAACTAACTTTTCTAATGATTTTAACAACAAAACTATTTTACTATAGAATATTTGCATATTCTTAAGTATTTAAACATACAGTAAACTAACGTTAAATCCATTTGACTAATTCTTAATGGAAAACATGTGTTACTGTATTAACATTTATTTAACATTAAAGCATAAAACTATAAATTATGCTATTGTTATGAAATTATGACAAAGATTATCATTTTAGAAAATGACCCAAAGATTGGTCTCCTATTTATTAACAAAAATACAAACACACTGTTTGTCGTGTTTCTCAATACCAGTGTTAAAACTGTTTGTTTAAATTTATAGTATCAGTTTGTGTACAGCACTATTATAAATTTAGACACCTATTATGTATACCTCTCTATTATGAACTCAACGATATTTCTCAAATAATTAACTCTTTTAATTACAGAGTTTTTATTTTTGAAGCCAATCTGTGTTTAAATTGGATGTAACCTTAGTTTATGTTAAACAACTGCCTATTAGTGTATGTGTTCCGTTAGTTTAGCGCGTTTTCTACAGTTAACACATTCATATCCTACATATAATAACAACTGGTCATCTGTTGTCCCCCTGTATTTTTGCTGCATTTAATACTTAAAATTATATTATTTAATACATTGTTTAATTAGCGTTACCAAACATACAAGAATTGCCTCTATTATAAAGGAATTAAAGAATATTTGCAGAATACAGAAGGGGGTAATTCCTGTACATTGAAAAATACAGGAATATATACATATGTATATATATAGATGTATATATATTGTAAATAAGCTATAGATATAGTTTTGATCAACTCTATCACCACTTACTGTCTTGAATATCGCTGAAATTTATATTTTATTATTAATGTGGAAATGTATAAAAGCTTTATTATAACTTATAATTTATAAGTTACTCTTATTTTTTTTATAAATCATTGAACGTTTCCAAACAATATGTTATTCAATTTGTCTTTTTAATTAGTAGTTTTAATTTAATGTGATTTTAACTGACATATAAATGAACGAATTTAATACTAAATCTTATATTAATAATCAGTGAATCGAAAAAATCTCATTAAACATAAATTTCATAAAAAAGACATTTAAGAAAAATAATTAAAGAAAAATACAGGCATTTTAGCCAAATTTTTCGTATTTATACAGGATTTCCAAAAATCTTTTTGACAACCCTATGTTTAATGCTATGCGAGTATTGCAGTCATATTGTGTGCTTTAATTTAGTAAAGATTGGTATAATTATAACAATTATTATGTTTATCAAATTTAAAAGATAATTTTGTCGCGAAAATTTAATGCTGTAGTAAAACTGTTAAATGATGGTATCTTATCATGATAGTTTAGTTTGTCATAGCCTATAACAATTGTCCGGTATATTAAGAAACAAATTAAGTTCATATTGTTATAATAATAAGCATGTATAATCAAGCAAATAATTTTTTACAGTGAATAGTTGAATAAAACTAATTATTAAATAATTGTAAATTTAATTTAAAACATGTTATGATTTAATTACATTAGAATTCAACAAAAATTAGAAAATGTAGTGGAAAATATGGATTGAATAGTATTTGAAAATAAACATGTTGGAACATTGCAAGTATACTCGTATACAGTTTAAAGTAAAAACAGTTTAAAATTTGTTTAAATAAAGGTTCAAAATGAACGCCACATCCTCTTAATTATTAAACGTGAATATCTATACAATTATCGCATTTATTATTCATTAAAGAATTTCTATAAAAATGTTAGTATTTTTGTGGGAACTTAAGCCCACACTATCCGAGTCTCACGTCAATGAATGTGCACTTAAAATAGTGAACTCCAAACGAAATAGTGGACGATTGACAACACTATCAAGTTTACAGTAAAAACAGTTTAAACAATATGAATTTTCAATATCTAACTTTTCCACTTTGGTTCCCCTATAGTATAAATCACCAAAACTTGTTTTAATGAATACAGCGTGAGCTGTGAAGTTACATGTTACATCAGTACAGTTACTGTTTTGTACAGTAGACCATTAACCTAGAGTCTTTTTAACTAAACGTTAAGATATACATTTTAGAGGTTTGTATGCTGTACAATGTACAATGTACAGTGTATCACTATTTCACCACTTTATCAAGTTTACGACGTTTTTGTTTTCGAAAAACATTAAATGTTTAAAACACAATAAATAATAAATTTTATTTTTAACTTCATAAATTTTACACTAAAATAAACAAATATTTTTACTATTGATTAATTTTTAATAAATGTTTCAAAATATGTTTCATTAAAATCTAATTATTAGACCAATAATCAAGTATTAAATCCAAGAACTAAAAGTAATTAATAGACGATATTATAGACTAAACTTCTTTATTTATAAATTGTTTTTTAATCATAACATAAATGTAACATAATTTTAGTGCATATCTTAACAATTTATTGTTAACTTTATAATAGTATCTTATATTAAAATTATGGTTTAATGTTAAATAAAGTACTAAATTTAGATCTCAAATGAACGGCAAATAATTTTAATAAATAACAACTTTATTAGATGTAAGAAAATATGTATAGATTAATAGCACTTTTCATATGAAAGGCAAACATCGGTTTAAATTGTATATAAAGAAGAAGATTAATAAAAACAATCCTAAGTTACAAATAAATGTTAATTTCGTAAATATATTTAATATATATTTTTGTTTTATTAAAATTTTGGCACAACAAAGAAGTTTCAAAAATTGAGTTAAAATTAACGTAAAAGACAAACAAAATATAAGAATTAATAAATTGAACAAAAAGTTTGATTAATTTAAAAATATTTAAGTTATTGAATAAAGAGATTTAAGAATGCGTTTAATGGCAGTGAAAAACCACTGGATTGTTAAGTTAGTTGTGATTTACAATATTAACAATTAAGTTTATTGTCACTATTTATTAATTACAAAAGTCTGCTCAATACTGATACCAGGGTTGCTTCCGAACCCATCGCACTCGTAGACCACTATCCGTACGAATCTTAATGGAGGCCGACTCACACGCGCGCACCGTCTCCTTCACAGATTGCATCAGATTCTGTGCGTTTCCGACCAACATCTCAGTCGCCTCGTCGTCTTCTTCCGATCCTTTCATTTCAATTCATTCATTAGTATTGCAAACAATTGTAATGTATTTGAATATATTTGGTGAGAGCATACCCTGAGCGCCCAACATGGTCGCTTTAACAGTAGATAAAATTCTTAATTGGGTTCCAATGGTTGGAATTCTTTCGCAAACTTGAAGAATATTCTGTTGAAAGATATAAAAGTTTTACAAAATATGTTTAATTATTTGTATAAATGTTAAACAAACACACAGTTCTCATTCTCTTATCAGTGCACAGTTTTGCCTGATCTTTGGCCAGTCGTGTCACTTCTTCAGATGCCTCGGCAATGGCTTTGGCGCAGGCAATCAAATCCTTTTTGGTTCCGCCCTCTCCGCCACACAACTGACTGAGTCTTGCCATAAGAAGTGCCATCTTTTTGGCCGCAGCGATGATCTCATTCTCTTTACTCGACCACTGCTTCACTTCCAGATGCAAGTCATGCGCCGCCATCTGAAACATTGTATCACAAAATTAATTAATTAAAAATATTCCAAAAAATATATTGTCAAAAATCAAATACCATAATCGGTTGGTTTGGTTGCAAGACTGGGAATTGAATTTCAAATTCATCATCAGTTTCAGGCGGTGGAGGTCTCGGTGGCGCTGAACCGGCCATTGGTGGTGGAGGACGAGGGGGTGCATAGTCTTGGTTGTGAACAAATCAGTGAATGTGAACAAAAATATTGATTTTGATAATGAATTCATGCAAAAAGTGCCGTAAAACCAATGAAAACTCCGGTTTAATTCATGCCTTTTTAGAAAAGCAATGCAATGGCAGCACAGGTAAGGGAAATGTAGTGGCGATCGGGTTATAGTGAATCGATCTATGGTTTACATGCTATTCGATGAGCTTTTCATAACTGAAGTCATGCTATAAGACAATAGGATTGTAATAACTATTGCGAGAACAAAGGCCTGCATCTGAACAATAAGATCGTGCAACGAATCACTCATTTAAATTGGAAATCCATTTAATGATCGCAATGTCACTCAATGTCTACCTGTTCTCTCACTAAAAGTAACGACTGGTCTCTGGGTCTGTGTTTGAGGCACTTGTCTTTGAGTTTGGATATCAATACGAGTCTGAGTTTGAGGCATGAAATCATCCAAAGAAGAAAATATATCATTGAAATCCGCTTCGGGTGTCAACTCTTTGATTGGCTCCGGAGCTGACGATTACAATGAGTTTAGTTCAGGACATATGATGTCATATGATTTGATTTTAATTAAATATTTATCATTTTTAACTCTTTGACTGAAAGGGACTTATTCTCTAAAATTAATAGATTAATGCATTACCGCTAATATAGAGTGATGTCATGTCCGGGGGATCAATGGAAACTGCTTTCTTCACTTCTCCCACAGAATTGATTAACTAATTGATAAAAACCATTATTTATTAAAACTTTCAAAATATCAATATTTTTAGAGGTTTATTACAGATCTATTGGAATCCCTCCAACGAGATATGGCTTTGGGATCAGTTATATTAATGGCCACATTCTTAGCGTCCTGTACCATAACGGGAACGGCTGATCACAAACAAAAGTTTACCATTAATTTACACCACTTTACAGGAACGTTAGATAAGGAATGCAATGACTCACTCGCTTGCAATTCATCTGCAGCTCTATTGACACGACTGATGAAATTTGGATCTTCAGAATTGTCGGACTCTTGTTTGGCGACCATCAGTACCCGATTGGCCAGACGTGCGATATTGGATGTGTTGTCGACCATACTTTGTTGCTGTCGATTCACAATTGCATTCTCACACAAAGCCGTGTATTTTAGTATCGAATCCTCTGAAAAAATACGGAAAATTATTAATACAATTACTCGAAACCAATTTAACAAATGTTTTAATTACCCGAAGCTTTAATGAAGTTAACGGTATCGACCGCCTCGTCCACCATATTCCTCATGCTTTGAATGGTGTCTGAGTATTGTTTTCTAAGATTTTCAAAGTGTTCATCGGCTGCTTTGTTGTCGGGATGTGTTAATCTGATCCGTCCAGCGCTCACTAATTGAGGCGTTAAACTCTCGATATGATTGGCTGATGTCATGAGCCCTTCGGCCAGTCGTTTATTGGGAGCACTTCCAGAGGCAACGTTTCTCGCCGTCTGAGCCGCTCGTTGTGAGAAGTTTGACAAATTGATGGCTTTGTCCTGAAAGTTAGCCTCTCTATTAGGTGTGCCCTCCGGAGCCAACACGGCTTCTGTGAACTGTTTTAAAGGAGTGGTTATATCAATAAAATCTTCGACCACTCGAGTGACTAAAGCCTTTTCAATTTGCTTCTTAAGCTCCTGGAGTTTTTGAGACAGATTCTTAGCGATGGCGAGGGCTTGCGGTGTATTTCCCTGTCCTCTACGGCACATGTCATTCAATTGACGACTGAGTGACTCGACTTCATTACAGAGTCCGAGAATATCCTGGCGTTGAGCGGGAAGACAGAATTGGGCTAATCTGCGTCCCTCGTCGACAATCGCTTGAATGGCTTGAGAGCCCAATCCCTTGTCGTCAAAGCCGGGATTTTCCAACCATTTGAGCGCCTGTTCTACTCGACCGGAGACGGTGTGCGCCGGTTGTTGGACACCACTTCGCTCCACGTTCTGTATGGCACGTCCGACCAATCCATTCAATTCCTTCACCTTTTGGTCAATACCTCGGGCGAGAGACTGCGCCTGAGGGGTACCTCCTTTGCCTTCGGATCTCAATTCGCATAAGGCATTAGTGGTGGCCGTGATATCGCCCACCATTTTTCTGATGGCATCCCTGTCCGGAGGGAGGGCTCGTTCGGCCACTTTTAATGCATAGTCCAATATTGAACGCAAAGACTTCTCGCCCACACCTCCAATAACAGCGGTCGGGTCTTCGAGCCAGTCGTGAGCCGTTCGTAATAAACCAATGATTGCGTTCTTCAACACAAATCAATATTACAATCATTTCCTATGGTCTCAAGGAGTGAGAGCTGAATACCTGAGCCTTCTTCATGCCGGTCAGATTGTCGGCCTCCCACTCGTCCTCATCATAAGTGGTCAGTTGTAAGACGCGTACGATTTCGTTGATCTCATCAGTCATTCGTTGAGTCAAATAATTCCTGTTTTCTGCCGCCTCTTCTGTCTTCTTCCCTAAACACATCCAAATAAACACATGTTATCAACGAATGCACTTCAATAGTGTTTCGGTACAAACCCTGTGCTAACAATTGGACCGATATCTTCATAGCGCATATGAGCACCGGTGCCAATGTCTTAACCGAATCTAATGATCGGATCAATATCTCCCGATGGACCTGATGTGTGAGCTCTTTCTCTCTGTTGTCCACATCGCGCGACACTCGCGTTAAACTCGGACTCA